TGAATTTTTACATCATCACCCGCCGCCTGAATTTTTACATCATCACCTGCCGCCTGTTGGCCCACTCTCACATCGTCACCCGCCACCTGTTGGCCCCAACTCTTACATTGTCACCCGCTGCCTGAATTCTTACATCATCTCCTGCCGCCTGTTGGGCCAGACTCTTACATCGTCACCCGCCGCCTGTTGGCCCAGACTCTTACATCATCACCCGCCGCCTGAATTCTTACATCATCTCCCGCCGCCTGTTGGCCCACACTCTTACATCGTCACCCGCCGCCTGCTGGCCCAGACTCTTGCCACTGAGTTGGTGTTGAGGGTCACTCTCAGCTACTACCGCTCCAACATTTAGCTTAGCGTCTGTAAAACATGACTCGGACGTTTTTGTGACGAGTGGCTAAAGCAGGCTGTCCAAAGTGTGGCCCGCGGGCCATTTGCGGCCCGCGATGTGATTTTGTGCGGCCCACAGCTGCAGTTGAAGAATGGCATCATTTTGGCCCGCAGGCTGCAGACGGTGACGCAGATTTAAGCCTTCGTTAAATTTAATGGTGACATTTTGTAAAATTATATTAAACTTTTAGGTTTAACAGAAAAACAGACAAGAAAAAATCTCAAAATGTGAATATTAGAAACAAAACTGACCTTTGGCTCATTTATCATGTTACTTATTTTATAACCAGATCTTTACGGACTTCTACCAAAAAGGAGACTTTTGGATAATTATTCATAAACTTGTCTAAACGTAACTGAATGTTCAGCTGATTTAAACTTTTAAGCATAAACGTTTAAGACTTAAATGTTTTTTTTAAGCTCAACAAAAAAAAAAACTTGTTTTTACTTTAATGTTCACGAAGCTTTTTATGTTTTGAATCTACAACAATTTAAAAATTCAGTTCCACCAAAATGAGTCACTTTTTGTCCCGTCTCCAAAATACTGCGCGCCTTGTTGTTGACAGTTAAACAGAGATATTTTGCTGACAGACCTGGACAGAGGACTCACCCGTCCACCAGGCCCTGCTTCTCTATCAGCCTCTCGGCGTCTTTTCTCGACGTGCCTCCATGAAACCACGGCTGGCTGCTGTGGACGTCTGCAGACAGAGACAAGACGTCCGTTTGTGGATTTAATAAAGAGACATGTGGACCCGGAGGTCCTGGAGGACCTGGAGGACCTGGACTCACAGGATGGTCTGGCAGCAGAGCTCACGTTGGGCAGGCTGCACCTCAGGGCTTCTCTCCTCTGTCACAGGAAAGACAAAGAGCGAGCAGCAGAAAGGTCAGAGAGCGTCACCTGACAGAGTTCTTCTGGGTCCAAACGGCCGGTTCTGACTTGAAACAGCAGGAGACTGAAAGAGCTCGTTAAAGAAACGTTCCTGACTTCAGGTGAGCCTGAAAACAGCTCCTGTTTACAATCAGGCCTGAACCTTTTCAAAGTTCTAACAGAAGCTCCGCCTCCATCAGCCCCGAGGGTTTAGGCTTCAGAACAGAACAATCCTGACCCGGTTCTACAGTCACTCAAATCGGACCTCGAGTGAACAGATTCCACAGAGACGATATTTATTCAGCAAAAACAAAACGTTAGAGCTGTGGAAGAAAGCCCACTCCAACGCCAAGCAGGAAAGACATCAGCAATGACGTCAGGGAAGCAGCTGTGCTTCAGTCTGTGAAGGTCAAAGGTCATTTCAAACTGGAGCCCATCGAGAGATTACTCACCAGAGGAACACATTTCAGACAGCTGATTCACCCCGAAGGTCAGACTGTGCACTGACTCTGCAGGCCTGTCAGCAGGTCAAAGGTCGTGGCTTCTTCTCTCTCTAAAAACAACATGGCAGCTCGACATTTCATCTGCAGGAACCACAAGACTTCTGGAGCAGAACCAGAGCAGATGCCAGATGTTCACCCAGAACGCACTGCAGCAAACAGCTCCTCCCAGCTGTCAGCACGGAGGTGGAGGCTGATGGTTTGGGCTCCTCTGTAAACACGTGCTCTGGAGTCGTATGCGAGTCCATCTTTTATTTTTCATGTATCCTTTATTTATCCAGGTAGTCTCGTTGAGCCACGAGAACGGTTTAAGGGCCTTGCTCATGGGCCCAGAGTGGGGCGAATGAGGGTGGGGGCAGGTGTGGGTGCTTCACCTACTCCACCCACATTTTTGATGTTGTCGGTACCGGGGCGTGAACCGGCGATCTTCCGATCACAGGCCCACCTTCTCTAACCTCTGCGCCACCGCTCCCCCATCTGTCCAACAAACTGGGCCCAGCAGAACCATGATCCCAAACACAGCAGCTGATCTACAACAGAACGGGTCAGAAAGACCAGAACCAAGGTGCTGCACCGGTCCAGAGTCCAGAACCTGAACCTGACTGAGATGCTGTGATGGGACCTCAATAAACTGAAGCAATGATGGAAAGAAGAGTGGTCCAAAAGTCCTGCAGAACCAGGAGAGACAAATAGGAAACAGCCGAGAGTTCTGGTGCTGAAGGAGGTTCTACAGCTGCTGGACCAGGAGCCGGGACCAGGTTCTGTTCAATAAATGAAGACTCGGGGGAACCTGTTGTTTTTGTTCAATTGAGGTTCAGATCTGAGGAACTTTAGAACCTTTTATTGTGTCCTGAAGGTATAAGCCCAGAACCGAAAGAACAGAACCTTCTTTTGGACCGAGCCGACCCATAAATGTGAAAAGCGAAGTGATCGGTCCTCACCCTCCAGGCCTGACCCTCCTCCCGCTCTGCACTCTGAGCCTCCGTCCGGTTCTGGATGACTCGACCTCCGGCTTTCCCTGAGAAGTCCATGGCCACCAGCGTGTCCTCGGACTTTGACTGCACACACACACACACACACACACACAGACACACACACACACACACAGACACAGACACACACACACACACAGACACACACACAGACACACACACACACACACACACACACAGCTCAGCTCAGCTCTACAGCAGGAACCAGAGGCTCCGTCTCTTTCTGCATCAGGATGAACTCACTAATCTGTCCTGAAGGTTGGACCTCTCCAGGATCCGTGGAGCCGACTGGGACAGCTGGTAGTTGGACTGCAGCTGCTTCCCATACTGAACACACACACACACACACACACACACACACACACACACACACACACCGGACATTACTTCACCTCAGGATCAACAACAATACGAAGATTAGGGCCTTAAACCTTAAATAAACCACCTTAAACAGCCTGAACGCAGACGTCCAACATGTCCGGGTCTGTTCACTGTCGGCACACAGGATCTTCAGGTCCTGAACACGGATCGGACTCCTGCAGGGCTGCACACACACACAACATTTAAAACAAGTTATGCATTTTATTTATTGTTGACTTTGTGTACAAACATTCAGAGAAAAAAAGAACAAATGACAGGGTGAAAGAACGACAGAACAGCAGAAAGAACTTAGAACAAACGGCAGAAAGAACAAACGGCAAAGAAAGAAAGGACGAATGACAGAAAGAACAAAAAAGAAAAAGAAAAGATGAAAGGGTGAAAGAAAGAATTAAAGATCGACAGAGGACAGAAAGAACAAAAGAGAGAACGACAGAACAAACAAAAAAACTAACGAAAGAATGAACGAAAGCACAGAATGAAAGAAAAAAACGACAGAAAGAACAAAATAATGGCAGAAAAAATGACAAAAGACCGAAAGAACAAAAGAACGACAGGAAGAATGACAGAACAAAAGAAAGAATGAAAGAAAGAACGAAAGAAAGAATGACAAAGAACGACAGAACGAACAAAAGAACGAACAAAAGTACAAGCAAACGAAAGGTAAAACGACAGAACGAACGATAAAATGGTGGAACGGACGACCGACCAACAGACAGAAAGAAAGAAAATATAAAGCTGCAATGCATTCTGGGTAAATGATGGAGACTGGGTGCTGAGGTGCGAGCTCTGATCATATTGAATGTTAATTTTGGAACCATCGGAGCTTTAGTTTGAACCGAAGCGAACGGAGAGAAGACTCGGCTCAACTCATGAGAACTTCGGCTGCTCCTGACGAGCATCAGCATCAACACGGTAATGAAGACGTTACGCATCCATCCAGCCATCATCTTCCTCTCGTCCTACTTTGGGTCACGGGGTTCTGGAGCAAACGTAAAGTCCAACTTGGTTCTAACCAGACAACGGAGCAACGCACCACAACACTTGGCACACAAACACACAGTAATCACCGGACTACACACCTACCTGGTTCTACCCCACCGACGGCAGACGTTTGTGGGCGGTGCCTCAGCTTTAGCCTGTTAGCTTTCACGTTAGCTCCAGAGCTAAAATCACAAGTAGATCCTGTTTGATCGTTTCGACCCATATATTGTGCGTAAGGACTAATACGAAATACAACTCGTTTTAGTCTCCACTACAACCAACGAACGTCATCTTCCCAGAATGCATTGCACCGGTAAAACAACGGCGACGTCCTCAGGTGAAACATGTAATAAACATGTACAGTGTGTACCAAGTAATTTGGAGTTTTCATGTGTCAAACAACGTTTAGTAGAATATGGAACAACATGCATCATGTCCAGATATTTTCTTCACGTGAAAATAAAAGCAGGTCTGAATCTTTTTACTCTTTATTTTTTTTGTCTCGACTATTTGAATAATAAAAAGCTGCTGCAGCTTTAAGACATCTAACACCTAAAACAATTATATTCCTGAACAAGTCGTTGCCCTAAAAGAATCTTAAAAACTGACCGAACATTTTCCCCGTTATTATTTTATAAATGACACCAAACAAAGCCCGTGCAGTAACTGAGCTTGGTCTGCAGCATTATGTGGGCGTCCTACAGTACCCCCCCCCCCCACACACACACACACACACACACACACACAGAGAAATGTTAGCGGTTCTGTCTTACCTTTATGCAGAAGGTGAAGTCTGCAGGAGCTCCGTACAGCTTTCGGCCGTTCACCACAGAGTACACGTTCAGATCCTCCAGATCGGCGACGAGCTGCAGGTGTCGAGGCTCCTGGAGCCAAAACACACGAAGCAGAACAAACGTTAAATCGGTCAAACGGACTCTTGAGAAGTTCTGGAAAGCTTCCAGGGTTCTCCAACCTTGGACGAGCCTTTGGTGGAGCTGTAGAGTCCGGAGCGTCGGAGGAAGAAATAAACTTTCTTCCAGGCTTTCCGGCTGGATTCTTTGACGTGCAGGAAGCCCTGGATCTCAGGACACGTCCCGGACCACAGCAGGTTCTGTGGAGCAAACGGTACTTTTTCATTTCTCATCCCAAACGTAAGGTGACCCGTTTCTTCTGGAAACAGGAACCAGAGGGAGGAGAACTCATTTTGACCGTTTATTTTTGAAACAAGAATATGATCTTGTTAATATTTTACACTGAAATGAGGAGATCAGATGTTCTGGACCTCAGACTGAGGACGAGCAGAGTGGTTCTGGTTCTGGTTGTGGAACAGCCGGGTCTTGGTGATAAAGGGGGTCATGGGGGTTTGCCTCTCCTGTCTACATGGGTTCTGTAGACCCGGAGGAGGTTTATGACTGTGTTCCTCGCGGCGTTCTGTGGGAGGTGCCTGGGTCGATTTCAGGCCCATCGGGTCTCTGCAGAACCAGAGCCGGAGCCGCATGCTTGGCTCAAAATCGAGTTCGTTCTCGATACGGACGATGTGGTTCTATTGTCGTCTTCGGGTCAAGACGCTCCGGAGCGGGCATCAGCCGGGACGAGTCAAATTCTCAACCAGACCCCTCCAGACCCCCGGCGAGGTTGGGGGGGGGGGGGGGCGTGGGCTCTGGGTCTGCAGAGACCCCGTGCGCCTGGAACCGGGGGGCGCGCGC